TTAAAGTGTTTGTATGTCCCAAGCTTGATGAGTTTTTTTCTAATTGACAGAGAATACATTGTGTTACTTTTAAGATGTATTATAGGTGGGAAAAGTATCTGCTTTATTAATATTTCTATAAATTTGGTACCAACAGAATGCACTTCATTTGTATAATTTATGGACTCATGGAGGGATGGTGGACATACTTTGTACTGAAAAAATATCTCACTGGGATCCAATTTTCAACTTTCATGAGAGAGTATAAATCAACTACAAGTGCAAATCAGCAAAGAAAAAAAATAAAAGGAGAAAACAAAGAAAATAATTTTGAAATCTCCGTGAAAGAAACTAGGAGAAGATCAGCACAGGAACTGAATGTCTAATATCAAATAAGAGGAAAATTTTACAAGGTAATACCTGCAAATCAAACAGCCGCATCAGTGAGGCAATTTTCAGCAAGCAGGTGTAGCAAGATAATTCTCATTAATGAGTTTATCATTTCTGAAGGTCTGATCTTTCTTATATTAACTGGGCAAAATGTCCTCTAGAAAGTCTGAAATTTTTAGCAGTTCATATGCAAACTCCCTAAGATACTCAGGTATGGTGCAATAGTATCCCTGCCTAGATCGAGGCGTTCCTGCTTTTTACGTTCTTTTAGTGATTTCTAACATCTGCCACAGCTGTGAAAAGGACATTCAAAAACTGAAAGTCAGCTTCTGAGTATCACATTATGAGCGTATTTAATGATAAACTGAAATTATCAGCATTAATATAAAAGTTGTGGTATCTTTGTTAATACTATGTAGAAGCCAAAGAAAATTATAAAGACTGGTTTTCTATATGCTATTTTTGCAATCAAGAGAACCATAATCAGGGCATATATCAGGTCTTTGGAGAGTTTTAATTTTATTTATTTTTCTTTCTCTTTGCCAAACATTTGTAAGAACATACTACATGTCTGTGTGGTACCCAGATACTCTATTTGCTGGGTGTGTGATTTTGGTTGGAGTAGTGAGGGGCCGAGATGATACAGTATCTATTAGGTATTAATGACATGACAGTTTAAGCAAGATCTTAAATGTTTAGGGGACAAACTGAGATCACTGAGACTGTAGTTCTTGATTTGCACAGTGTGAAATGCTCACTTGGAAAATTCTCATTTCAGAAATTCTCAGTGAAATACTTCTCTCAACCCAAAATTAAAATTCTCCTTTTCAAGGACTGTTCTTACACTGAAGTTTAAAATAATGATAATATATAGGGATTTATTGGCCTACAACTGAGCATGTTGTTGTACTGGGTCTTTACTGGCTTCTGCAGAGAGGGTGTGCTATGGCTCTCCCTCCAGCATGAGCTGGCCTTAGCTTCAAGTCACAGACCATGTAAGCCCCTCTTGTGTGTCTGGAGTGAGGCACTTGGTAGGGAAGGTCGAGTGTCAGTCACCCTTTCCTTGTGTCTTTGCAAAGCCGCTGTGCTGAGCAGTCCCAGGAAGGAGCCGTGGGGAGGCAGATAGGTGCAAGAGGAGCAAGCAGAGCTTTAGAAACTTACCTGACATTCAGAATACACTGAATTTCCTAGTAAGTTCTTAAAGTGAGGAGAGCAGTCACTATTGAAAGGAGTGTTTTCATGGGTGGTCACTTAGGTAAGACACAATAGAGGATAAATAAGGTTTTGAGTCCTTCTGCTTATTTGATTTTAATCTTGATCTCCTTGTGACTTTTGGGACTTTGGAAGACCAGATGAAGGTCTGATTTTGTGGACACCTTTACCTTCAAGATTCACAAGACTAAACCTGCTTCTTCACAGTGTGGTTATGTCTTTTGGTTTTACCTTTATGTAGAGGCAGAATAGGGTCAGCGGTAGACCCAGGGAAACATGACTTGACTGTGATTCTGCTTCAACCAGGCCAGATCTCAGGCTGGTGAGAGAGGGAAAGACAGCCCATTTCTCCAGAAACGGTACTGTTGCAATTCCTTCTCGTCCCTCTCTTCCCTTGCTGGGGCAAACCCCCATCCTTGTCGTGTCACTGAAACTGACATGGTTCTGGTCAAAGTGTAGCTGGCTTGGGTGGACAGTGAAATGCAAAAGTTACAGAAAGGGCTAAGTGTCCTCAATTGAATAATAGGTTAAAAGGTTGCATGACCATCTGCAAATGTACCTGGCATGTGAATGCTTTCTGGTTCAGTCCAGGTATGTGCCTTCAGATGCCCTGTGCTCAGACAAGATTTACTATGTTAGGTGAGGAAATTGACTTCTGAATTTGATTCATGAGACATAATCACCCTGGCTTTGCTGTTGGACTAGCTAAATAGAAGGGAGATCTCAATAGTTTGCCATAGCCTGAAAGGGCCACAGTTCAGTTGGTAGGTTTGGCTGCCAAAGGGATTTGTTTAAGGAAGGGAAGTGTATTGGTAGAAGACGACTTTGCTTCAGTTTTACATACACTTGTTTTTGTAAAAATGTCTGCTAAAGCATAACCCTTTTACAGTCAATGACAGTGGATGTAGTCAAGTTAGATGTAGAAGTTCTTCTAAAGTGTTAGTTCTTTGGGTTTTTTGTTTATCTTTTAAGTGATCTGGGTAACACTGTCCAGGTAAACACAACTGTGAATGTTTAAGTCATAGATTTGTCTCATTCTCATATTCTGAACATGGCATCTCTATGTTCATTGTGATAAAATTCAAAAGGAAGTAACAGTCTGCTAGGAAGGTAATTTGAGAAATAAATCAGTGACTTGAGAAGCTTGTAGGTATTAGAATGACAGCCAGTTTCAGTTCATATAAATACCTATTTTGATAACAAGACGAAGGAGAAAATAGAAAGAAAACTTTTCAGATAATTTAAAAACAAACATGATTTCCATTGAACTGTCTTGCAAAGAAGATGAAGGAAATACAGTGGAATATTTTGCAAAGCAATCAACATTACGATGAAGTTCAGCACTATTGGTGTTGCAGAGTTTTTTTGCAATTCCCCTTATAATATGTCAAAAGGTAGTAGCATATTCTATGGAATGACAGTGCTTGAGAGTATGCTATGTCAGTACACAATTACATTTTCTCTTTGTCGCTTGAAAACTTTTCTAGTATTTTCTTTAACTTGTTTTATTATTCTTTTTCTCACAAGGAACCTGATTTTGGTTTTGAGCTCTATTTTCTGTTAAAATGTGATGTTTGTCTTTCTTTCTAGCACTGAATTTAGCAGTATTAGTGCATGGGATGTATAAATATGTTGATACTGTTAATGTATTTGAACTGATGCAGTTTTATGAAAACGTCTATGTGTCTTAACTACTCATTTCTTAAGTAGGTGTGTGTGTGCATATATACACACACTAGTAATTAAACCAAAACAGTAAATGTAGAATGTTGCTATATATGTGATAAAATGTGATTGTAGAATCATAGACTGGTTTGGGTTGGAAGGGACCTTTAGGGTCATCCAGTTTCAGCCCCCTGCAGTGAGCAGGAACCCTTTCAACTAGATCAGGTTGCTCAAACTCCATCCAACCTGACCATGAGCACTTCCAGGGATGGGGTAACAGATAAATGGGTAATTCACTTTCTGATGTTTGTAATAAAGTTATGATACTTGCTATTGTAAAATTAAATCATTAACAACCATAAGAAAAAAAATTAAAAAGTCAAAAATTCAATATAAACTTAAAATTTTCAGGTGTTGTAATTTTGACAAGTACGAAAACCATGGTAAATGTGTTTAAAGCTCACTCTATTTAATTTGCTGACACTTGGAGATAAAATGCATAAAATCCCTTTCATGGACCTATAGTGCATTAAATATTTATTTTTAAATGTGCATGCCAATGAGAATCGATTGAGAAATATGTTATAAAAACCTGTCTCTTCAGTATGTGATTTTGTCTGCAGTTTAGCATATGAATTTAACCCAGCTAAAAATAGCCCTGGACTGAGGCCACTCTTTTTGGCAAAAGTATTCTTGTTGTCTTGGGACAGGAGGAAATAGCAACCACCATGTGCTACTTTAAACAGTCCAAATTTTCTTCTGAGCAGAGCCAGCATTTAATTTATATCTGTCTCCAGGCCAAAGATTGTGTGGGTATTCATCCTCTTGCCCTTACATTGATAATCCATTTGCCATTAACTGGACTTTGGTTCAAAAATACTGGATGTATTATCCAGTGGACTGGATCTCCACTACCCAGTGCTGTAACAGAAAGATAATGGGCTACAAGAGAGATTAATAAGATTTTTGAGTTTCAGAAGCATTAAGTCAGTTTAAAGCTATTGGTTAAGCTGCTCAGAACTGTAATGCATTAATCTTGAGCTGTGGTGTATGAGCGCAGCCACTGCTGGTGTGCATTAAGACATCTACTTGGTCATCTTATACTTAGCTGTTTTGCAGACTGAGTTAGCAATAACACTCCTCCTAAGTCTTAATTTAAGATGGATTTGCAGGAGATGGGTTAACAAAACATATGTAGTGATTCTCAGTAGGAAGTGTCTGGTTTTACCTGCTTTATGGATATGAGGGCTACAGATCTGGCCTGGCTATTTCTTCTGCTGTAGAGCTGTCTCTCTCAGTTGGGACTCTTGAGCCTGCTTTGATCCTCTTTCTGTTGTTGGATCTGACTGACTTCCACCCCTGTAAGGACTGCAAAAGCCTCACTCAGTGGTGGTTGTGAACCTTAGCTTGAATATTCCCATGCTGCTTCTGCATTTTATTTTGAGTTAGTGCAGTTAGAGCCCTAGGTGAAAATACTTCTCCAATCTATTCTATCAATTCACCAATATATAATTGGTGTTAAGGTCTTCTAGTGCAGAACTGGCATATGATTTAGAGATTTGTTTGATGGTTATTTCCTTCTAAGGTTTGGAAAATGACAATATTGCTTGTTTCTTTTTGTTTGTTTTTTTCTCATTCTTTTTGAACCCTCCCTTTATATGTGTGTGTTATTTTTTTCCTCTGCCTAGACCTGGTTAACCATTTCTGTGAACAGGTCCTCAATTTTTTACTTTGTCCCTACTTTCCTGTCGTAGCCCCATCTTCCCCTGGTGTCGACTCCGTACCCTTACAGCGCACAGGCAGTCAACACGGCACACAGAACGCAACCGCGACCTTCCAGAGGGCCAGCTATGCAGCCGGCCCAGCCTCCAATTACGCAGACCCCTACCGACAGCTGCAGTATTGTCCTTCTGTTGAATCACCATACAGCAAATCTGGGCCAGCCATCCCACCCGAAGGGACCTTGGCTAGGTCGCCTTCCATTGATAGCATTCAGAAAGATCCCAGGTGGGTGAAATCTTCTTCATTGTCTTTTATTTCTTGCTCGTGCTGAGGTTTGTAATTGCAGTTTGCTTTGTGTGTTTCTGCTGTTGAATATGAAAAAGACACCTGTGGTGGTACACGAAAGACTGTTTGCATGACAGCATTGTCCTAATGCTTCACCTTGGAAAGCTGTCATGAACTGTTCTGTGCAATGAAATGATAGATGTGGTCTTGAATGTGTGTTTAGCCTGCTTTCAGTAGTGCCACCCCTCAGCCACCCCTCAAAAGCTTAATAAAAGTAATTTCCTCTGGAAATGGGAGGAGTGGAGTGACTGTTGACTCTGTAGCCATTGTGAATTGAATTTTCAGGTTGTTTCTTGGGCAGGAGTTGTTGCAGTTCTTGGTTTGTCTGCAGGTAATGTTTATATATGCTGCAGAAGAGGATATTTCAGTGTTGTGCAGTGAGACTGAGCAATGTGAAAGCAACATGTAACCAGGGTTATGTTTCATCCCATGTGTTGCACAGGCTTCCAATGCCAGTATGTGATAAAAGAATGTATGATTACAGTTTTGCAGAAATGGTATTGCTGTGCATGCTCTTCAAATATTTACCACAATTTTTTATTTTGATAGTGACAATCCTCATCTGCTTAGAGAAGGTGCAAGGAGGAAACTTTACAGCCCAAACAAGCACTTAGATTAAAGAGAGAATTTTCTGAGAAATTATTCCATGAAATATACTTCCGTGATAACAGCAGCAGAAATGCTAGCTGGAATCCTCAATGCCCTTTGTGATTTTGTTCAGTTTTCTGAAAGAAAAGAAAGCAATTCTCTTTGGTAACTTGAGTTTAAACTTTCTGAAAGTGTTAGTTTATCCTAAGTTTTTCTTTGGCAGATGGTGTGATTTATTTATTTATTTGTTTGTTTGTTGTAATGTGCAGTTCTATGATAGGAGAATCCAAAAATTTGACTGCGACAAAAATGCTGGAAGTTTTTAAGTAACAGTTTGAAAAGACTTCTTTCCCAAAATTAAAAAACCCCAAAAACATAAACTGATTCTTTACTTGTTTAGCATTATAGCAGTTCTTTCTCTCTCTCCACCCAGGAACTGAACAGCAGATAATATTTTACAGCACATCAGAAACATCACTGCTTGCAGGGTTTTACTTGTTGAGAACTCTTCTGTCTTCAACCTTCCCCCCTCTCCCAGCTTTGGTTTAACTGTGGAAATTTGAAAAGAATACAAATTTAAGTGCCCCCCTTCTTCCCCCTGCCGCAAAGTTAGTAACAAGAGGGGGAAAGTGTTTCTTTGAAATGGTGATGTTATATTTCTATTCCATAAAATAAGAGCCCATGTATAAAAAAGAGCTTTACTTTGTAATTGTGTTACGTTGAAAGTTAAATAAACTTTGATTAGGAGGAGAAATTACTGTATTCTATATGAAATGTTCTTAGGAGAAGCATGGTGGTGTTAAAAATGCAATTCTTAACACAATTCCTGTTTATACAGGAAAAGACATTTAAACAGAAAAGACATATTTACGGTATCTCTACAGGTCTTAGACATAATATCTTTATAAGAAAAGGTTATTTCTGTTCAATTCCTTTGCTATCACTTTGTAACTGTTAGCCAGTTAATGTATAGGATATGTGCTAGTATTTTTCATTTGCTTCTTTTTTTAGTTCTCGCTTGTCTTGTGGTACCATTTGTACATTCATGAGTATTGATTTCTGTAGGTAAAATAGGAGCGAGCAGGCATCTAGGTATAAAATGAACTTCATAAACCCTTTAGGGAGGGTCATTAAATATTATTACTGATTACTATTAGATAGATTGGAAATTTGTATTAAACTTTTGTAAGTAGGTTTGCATTACTCTTAATTTTATTCATTTGATCCATAGGCTGTGTGTGGTATATATTAGTATTTCTGCCTTTACATGTTGGTTTGAATAGTTCTGATAAATGTCAGAAAGACACTTGATTATGTTATGCCTTAGTCTCCAGAAGCCATACTCCACTGAGGCAGACTGACTTGTGAAATTGTCTGTGGCCTACAGCAGTTGCTGTTCATTGAGCTATTGGAAAGACATTGAACATTTGAAAGGAGTTTGGAGAAAAGTAATAAAAGCAGTCAGAATGCTTTTAATGTATTGATTTATTTTGATAGATTACAAAAATGTCAATATATTACAAGTGTGGAAGTGATAAAATGCAAGACTTTCCAGCTACTTCAAAAAGTAATATGGAAGGATAGAAATTACATAGGATAGTATGTGGGAGATAAAACTAGGAAAAGGAAAACGACCCAAATGCAATACAGGCTTACAGTGGCTGTGTTACGTCTTGCTGTATGCCCTGATGGGTTACCAGTTATATCTTATACAACAAGAAAAAAGTACATAGCAGCACTATGTGGTCAGCAGGTCAGCAGCTGCACTTTGTCATCTGAGAAGTCACAAGTGTCCTTACAGCTGTGTTGCTGCTTTTATTGGCTGGTTGGTTGGAGTGTTCTGTAACTGTGACAAATTGTAGAGGGCAACAGTAAGCATCATTTTCAGACACCAAACCTACCTGTCTAACCAGAGGTCCAAAAAAATGCTCAGTGGCAGAGGGAAGTCTGCAAGACAAAAACATACTATTTGCAGGCTATTGATAGCATTTCCTATGTGGCATTCAGCTCAAGATGAAAAAGTAGATATCCAGAAGAGATTGTACTCACCCTAACAAGCAATTAGCATTACTAAAATTGAACATAATTTTCTGTAATCTTCAGTTCAGACAGAATTTCTATCTGGAGGTCCAGAAAAATTGTTGGCAGACACTGGTGTAATTTACAATTTTTTATATTGTTTTTACCATGTAGTTTGTCTTACTGATACTCCTAATTTTAAATACGTGTTCTGAGCTGATATTTGGCAAATTAAATTTTAGCTCAACATCTGTTCTGCATCATCCAGCTGTCATAAAATGCAGTTCAGTGTTCATTCACTTAAAGTTTAAGACAAAAACTTTTTTAGAAAAAAGGGGGATTAAGATGTTTACAGTCAAGTTTGTGGCAGGGAATAATTTTAATTTATGCAGGTAGACTGTTAGCTCATAGGAGCTCATAAACAGGTAGTAAAAACTTTACATATTTATACTGTTGGAGAATGAGGCTTTGTTGTTTAAAAATGAAATAAGTCCCATATCACTGTCAGAAATAGTACTTAAGTTCTGCATATGGGAAGTGGAAAAGTTCATATAATTACAAACTAATTTTCCAAAGCATTATTTTATGTTTACTTCATATAAAAAAAAGGAAAATAAATATGCAGTAGGGCTGTGATATCAACTGTTTCATGCCATAATATGCTATATGAAGATGTGATATAAGGAGGGAAAGAACACAATATTTATTTTATAATTATTTGGTTTCTTCTGAACTGTGAATGGGAGAAGTCTTGAGTATTTTAAAGTATCAGAAGTACATGTTAATATGATATTTTCCAGCCTACTTTCAGGAAGGAAGATTCATCTGTCTCTTGGTACCAATAAATTATCTGTGGGTTTTGTGTACTTATTATTACTATTATTATTTTATTATTATTTTCATTTTTATTTTGGCTGTTTCTAAATTTTAGAACTGGGGAATCCTAGAAATAGAAATGTTGGGATCCAGTTGTCCGTGTGTGCCTTCCAGATTTTATTCCAAAATCCAAGCTTGCCAAATGTGTATAAATTACTTAAATTTTTTAAGTTTTAACCTAGTAAGAAACCATGTACATGTACCACTGCTGCTAAGTTACACTTGCTACACAACAGATGAAAAAATAGAACATTTTCATGTTCTCCATTTAAATACATACCAATGAGGTTTTGTGGTTGTAGTATTTTTGCTGGTTTATGAACTCAAACTGTGGTTTGATGTGTCCAGTCAAGTCATGTGTCCATGGCTGTGTGACTTGGCATTTGTTTTTATTTACACACGTATACACAGATCACCTCCTGCAAAGATGCTGGCAAGAAGTTGAGGTAACAGCAAGAATTAGTGGAATGCAGTCCACCATGGCTACCAAAGTGATTTTCACAGCTCACTGTTCATTTTCATATTGCCTTGAATTATATTGATCTGCACTTAAAACTTTCTATGATGGCTTCACTTTTCATGTGTTTCAGAACCTTTAGAACTATTTATTCAGAAAAAGTGGGATAATTTGGTGAATTAAACTGTAAGCAAACATATTCTTTATAGAACAGACTGCAGTAATGATTGGGCTCTTCTTTAAAAAGAAAAAGGCAATATCATTAAAGAATCATGTTGCAACTTCACAAGAAAAAAAGAAATTAAACCTAGTTATCTTGTAGTAGTTCTCACATTTAGAGCTGTCTGGGTTTAAGTCAGCATGGAGACAGGAGTTTTTCAGGTATTGCATGATATAACTGTAATATCCTGAAACATTTCTGCTTGGTTTTGCATTTTCTGAGGCAGCTTCTCCTTTCATTACCTCTACTGATCTTAATTTCCTCCTAAGCAGAAAAAAACAGTGCTGTCTATCTTCTAAACTTTTAAACTGGCTTTCTTTTCACTTATGACAGGATATAAATTAGGTCAGAATACTTTGTGTGAACTCTAAGTTTCAAAACTCATCTTTTTTATCTTTTTTTTTTTTTTTTCTCAGAAATATATTTCATTTGTAAAATACAAGCTAGAGAGCATTCTTTTTCTGTAGGAAAAATTATAGAAGTAAAATAGCTCTAGTTTAATTTCTGTACTCCTGTAAAACTGCTTATGAGATTAGCACACAGAGTTTGGAGCATAGCCTGTTAAATGTTTCTGCAGGAATCTTCTCCAAATATTTAATCTCACTTCGTTACAAGGATTGTCTTGGTATTAATAGTGTTAGTCTACTGTAAGTCTGAATAGCAGCCAGACACTCTGAGACTCTAAAGAGGTAAGAAAACAACAGTATAATCCTGCATGGGTCAGATGTTAGCAGTCATGGTGGGAATGTTTCTGGTAGGTTTTTTGGAAAGGGTTGTCAC